ATAATGGGTGTGTTCTTGTGCTGGAGATTTTCCCTTTCAGATGAGCTCCTTATGGCTGGTTTTCTATCCTATCCTTAATAGTACGTGGGATAACTGAATCATAATTTGATTATCGTCATCGGTGAAAAATTCCCTTTCTCAGAGATTTGCTACAGATTAGCACTGGTGTTTCTTTTCCTGCTATTTTAAGATGTAAAAGTAAATCAAGATAATTTGGAATTAATGAAGGTTGAAAAGGCCTCACATCGCGATAATTTAAGATTTTTTTCTTTTATTCCACGAAAATATTCAAGACCTTGCTGCTCCTCGTCAGTGATTATGTACTTTTAAATGAGAAAATGAATAAATTTTTTGTTTGTTTTTGTTTTTGTTTTTCCGACACATCACAAATTAAAAAGCTTTTGATTGAATTAAGTTCCATTGTCAAAGATTCAAAGTCTAACGCTCAAATCTCAAGCTATGGTGCATGTTGTAGAAGAAACAGGCTTATCAGGATGAAGACTCCGAGAGTTAGAGAAAAGATATTTTTCAATCGCCACCTATTCAGGAAAACTGAGTTTCACTTTTTCATATAATTGTAGAAAGGGTCGGTATTTTTATGGAAAAAGATTGGAATCGTGAGGTTTTTTTTCTTTTTCAACCCTTTTAATTCCCATGAGTGACCAAAACAGAAATTCTCCTCACAATATCAATACAAAATCAAGAAGACAAGTGATGAGAACCAAGAAAAGTATCAATTGGGGGATTATTAGCTGATCCAATAACAAATTCTTAGTAGTAAAATCAGAAGCATTATATAGGAAACTGTAAGGAGAATTACAAATGATATCTTGGGAGTTAAATGATTAAACGCTGTTCACTAAAGAACGCCGTAATTGTTAAAAGGTCATTAGCCGTGTAGGGTGTGTTTTCCAAGTATGTATTAATGGAATAGAACGAACTTCTCAACAGTTATTGTTTCTTAACCAGGTGTAGTTGCATGTCACGCAAAATAACTCTTTGTAGCATCCGACAAGTCAAACAATTGCGAAACAAAGTCAATTTGAATTCAATAATGTACATGACAAAAAGGAAAAAAAAAAAAAAGGAAAAGTTTAAATTGCAAAATAAATTGGTGGTAAATACCAGCGGGTATATCAGTACACATAGGAATATATTACATTGATCGGACATTTTTTAACTCAAAGGCAGCGATAATCCATTAAAATCTGCGGGTTTTTTTAAATTTATTTTTTATTTTTTTTAATTTTCATCGAAAAAGTTTATATGAAGGTATTGGTTTGTTTTGTTCTTTTCATGTCGTCCATATTAATGATATGCCGCAACTTCGGATAGACAAGCAGTCACAAATGTTTTTCGTTTCATAGAAAATATGAACTTGTCCTCCAAAAAACTGCAGGGAATACGCAAATCTCTCTGAATGCGATCCATTCATAAATTATGGTTATGATTATTAGGGGTTTTAACCATAAGGAGCAGCTTCTTTTCGGTGAGCTTTTAGCTACGGGTGGTAATTAGGAAGTAGAGATGTCAAGTTAAAGATGATAACCTACTCACCAAGATCAACCGTCATGAAATAAACTGAAGTTTCCACTTTGCAATTAATTGTTACATACCTCAAACTTTATATGTGTACTTGATAAATTTTAATTGCACCAAAATTAATTTCTACAGTTCAGGTCTGATTACCGGTTAAATGATTAATCAGTTTATCATAAACTGTTATTCTCTGGCAATTTGATTCTTAGACAAATAATTATTCTATAAAATGCCAACGATGCCAGGTTAATGTGATTAGACATCATTAAAAAAGCTAAGTCTGTGGTTAAGAAAATTTCTTGGCAGCTGGACAAAAAAAACAGTACAAATACAATTTGAATTAACTTGAATCAGCTACAGCCTAAGCAACATAAGTGAAGCTGGTTATAAATGCATTTAGTATTCTCCCATTCCATTGGCAAGACCAAAGTTCAAAGTCCCTTGATTACTCTCGATCCCGCACAGGAATCCCAGTGTCATTGTGACTTTGACGAGCTTGAGAGTTTCCTCTATTGTCACCTTGCCTTTGATTAAATGCACTTGGGTGGAATTTTTGGACTCTTCTTTTGAAACGTCCCCTTATCTAGATAGGAATTCGAAGTCAAATAACAGGTACTCATTAAATGAAACCAGCTTTTCTCGAAGAAGAATTACGGAGACTCAAAATTTATATTTACCTCACTATTTCCCAAGCAGTGAAAGAAGAAAATGAAGAATCCCTACAACAAAATATAGATAAAACTTTATTGGTTGATAAATAAACAAATAAGCAAATAGCTGCAGAAATGAAAGAAGCTTTCCTCTTTTTTTTAATTGTTTTCCTTTCTTTCTTTCTTTTTTTTTTTTTTTGTCGTAAGTGTAGGGTTGTGTCTTTTAGAACAACTCAGCCGAAGGTCTCCTTTCCTTATCAGCTATAATCGTTTACTCATCTGAGGCTTATTTTCCCGAGTACAATTCTATCCGTCAGATGTAATCGGTTTATGGTGACTCCAATATCATAATTAAGTAAAACTAAGTCTTTGCAGATAAAGATACAAGTGCAAAAGGAAGACTTAAATGGTCTCGAGTCGGCTTCTTTAGGGAGGGTCACGGGTCTG